GAGTTATATTTAAGGGACTGTATGTAGTAGACATGGTGAGATATATTAAAGGGACTGTATGTAGTAGACATGGTGAGTTATATTTAAGGGACTGTATGTAGTAGACATGGTGATATATATTAAAGGGGCTGTATGCAGTAGACATAATATTACAAATTTTAGATTTTCAGATAAAGGTATTATCATGTTTTTGAAACTTCTGTATGTTCTTGTACAGTGAGACCCCTACAACTGTGGAATAGAAAGATGACATTAGAGCAATACAATACACATTTATACTTTATACTCCTAGCCACTAAATTGTAACTAAAGTATACTGATATAAAAAGTGGAATCCTAAAAAATGAATTATCCTGACATAAAAAAAATAATGAAATAAAATGTCAGAAAACAATGCAATGTTTGGAAAATCCACTTGTTAATTATATCTATCTACCGAATCCATGTCATGTCATGTCGAAGAAATTTTTTAATTTTGAAATTTTTTCTGTAAGTTCGATTTAACGTACGAAATGATTTTTTCTTGTGAAAAATGATTTGTTAAATAAGATAAAAAATATTTAAAATAAATTTGAAATTTATAAATATTTATTTAGGAACTCTCCCGAGACAAATTTCCTCAGTGCTAGATACAACTCTAGAGGTAAATTTAATTGTAGGGATTTTAAATACTGGTCACCCACAAAAAGAATGACATTTCTTAACGATTGAAAGCTTTTTGAATAAAATTAAATGGCTGCATTAAGCTTTCTGCTTTGAGAGTTTAGTGTTGAAATGATTTTGCAAAAAATCTTCTTGTGAATGATTGCCCAGAAATTCTCGAGAAATTCCCCGGAATTGGTCCCTAATTATAGAGATTTTTTGGGTTTTATAGTTTTGAGACTTAGTTTCGAGAAATTCCTGAGTATTACTCCTGAACTTTTTTCAAGAAATCAATGAGAATTTCTCTCGAATATTTCTCTGGAAGTTCCTTAGAAATTCTCAGAACTTGGTCAACAATTTTACGAATTTTTATGGATCTTATTAAAAGTCTCATGAAATTCAAAGAACTTGGTCACTAATTTTACGAATTTTTAGGGAACTGAATAAGAGACATAGTCTTGAGAAATTCTGAGGAAAATTTCTCCGAAAAATGTCAAGAAATTCTCAGGACTTGGTCACTAGTTTTACAGATTTTTTAGGGAACTGAATAAGAGACGTAGTCTCAAGAAATTCTTGAGAAATTCAAAGGAATTTTCCCCCTGAAATTCCTGAGAATTTCTCAGGAATATTTACCCGGAAATCTTCCGGACTTAATTGCAAATTTTACAGAATTTTCAAGTTCAGTTTTTCTCCAATTGGGGTCTCTGAGGTTCCCTTCTATTGTACACTGGCCTAAATAAATCTATTTTTCTTTGCATTCTTATTTATGAAAAATGATAATTAACTTTGGAACCATCTTTAAAAAAAAAATTTGGAAAAATTATTGAATTTTTTCATTTGTTCTTGACAGTTCAGTTGTCTGAAAATACTAAATACAAGACAACTTCAGTATATGAAAAACAACTATAACATTCTGATTAACAAGTTGGTTATACTTCTGAAAAGTTGGAGTGGCAATATAGATAGTTGTTAAGATGTTCACTACTATTGCGTCTAAGTCCTGATTAGTGAATTTACTCAGGAATTTGCTGTGAATAACTCAAAATATTTCTGAGGAATTCTCGGGAAAATCTTGGGAATAGTTCCCAGGAAATTCCAAGGAATTGGTTCTGAAACCTGTTTCTGAAAATTACCAAGAATTTCTCTAAATTTTCTCCTGTTATTCTCCAGAGAAATTCCCTGAAATTGGTTATGAGAAATTGCTCGGAAAGGGTTATGAAAAATTCCTCGGAATGAGTTACAAGAAATTCCTCGGAATGGGTTACAAGAAATACCTTGGAATGGGTTACAAGAAATTCCTCGGAATGGGTTACAAAAAATTCCTAGAAATGGGTTACAAGAAACTCCTCAGAATTGGTTCTGATATATTCCCGTGAAATAATCACAAGAAAATATCCAGCCTCGGCCAAACCACTGCCACTCTACAGCGTTGATCCCAGGAATGTCTCACTAAAGAATCTTTCCCAAAAAAATTCTCGAGAAAATCTTCAATCTTTGTCAACATTTTCTCCGGATTTTCCCGTGAAAGATTTCTGGGAATTTCCTCGGATTTCTGGGATGGATTTCCGCGGATTTTCCGCAAAATTTTTTTTTCTTCACAATTCCAATAATCCAATAAATCACCTTGAAGATAGANGCACAATCCAAAACAAAGAAAAGGCCCGATATCGATTATTTTTATACCCATTGTCATTTTTAAAGGGATGTTTCACGTTTATCTGAAACACATTAACATACATGCATATTTTATATTTAGCATCTGTCTATTTTCTGTCTGATTTAAAGAGACATATTTTCCGCTAATTCATGAATATCTGGAGATCTCCGATACAAAGCTTGGGGTCTCAAATGAAAAGCTTAGGATATCCGATACAAAGCTTAGGGTCTCCAAAAAAAAACAAGGGGTCTCAAAGAAAATCAAGGAGTCTCCAAGAAAATCAAGGAGTCTCCAAGAAATTCAAGGAGTTTCCAAGAAAATCAAGGAGTCTCCAAGAAAATCAAGGAGTCTCCAAGAAAATCAGGAGTCTACAAGAAATTCAAGAAGTCTTCAAGAAAATCAAGGAGTCTCCAAGAAAACAAGGAGTCTCCAAGAAAATCAAGGAGTCTCCAAGAAAATCAGGAGTCTCCAAGAAATTCAAGGAGTCTCCAAGAAAATCAAGGAGTCTCCAAGAAAATCTAGGAGTCTCCAAGAAAATCAAGGGGTCTCCAAATACTCTAATGGTGATGTTTTCATTGATCCACTCTTCTTCTGGTAGTGTTTCTGCAGATTACTGCAGTACGCACCGAAAGCTTAGTTGAGGGTTATTTTAGCTGATTTACGAGTAGATATTTATAGTTATGCTTTAATCAAAGGAGTCTAGCCAGGTTTTTGCTGATTAAAAATAATGGAAAATTCTGGCTCTCCGAAAAACACTTGAGGGTAAAAATAGACTTTTTAGTTTTAGATTTTTCAATTTAATATAATTTGTCCAATTTTTTTTACATTTAATAAGCGTTCAACCCCATTTTTAAAGGCACACAAGGTACCCTTAAGATTACGTAAATAGTCCCTTTAAATGATTATTTTTTTTAGGATTCCCAGGATAGTGTATTCTATGATGTTGGCCGAAGCGGAAATCTCAATATTCCCACTACTACAGGTAACCCTTGTTTCATGGACTCACTGAAATAAAGAAACGTTTCTTTTTTTTGCATTACTAGAAAAAAACTGAGCTAATTATCCCAAAAATATGTTTCAACATTTAATTAGGTCCCGTTCTTTCTCAAAATAGGTGTAGTTTGAAATGTTTTTGAGTGTTCAATATTTTGTCCAAAATGGATGATTTTAATTATTTTCAAATTTTGACAAATTTTAACATGTGACACAAATATGTTATCATCCATTTTTAAAGGGCTTTTCAAATATATAATTTTTAGCCGTCTAGCTTAATCATTAAAAAAAGGTACAAACCATTTCTGATTTTTTTTGAAACACCGACCCGCTGTTTGACTGTCCTCAACCCTACAAACAAATTTTATTTGCAAAATTTGTTCACAACTATGAAGTTGAAAAAGTAAAGAAGCTTTTGCGTTTTTATGTTAGCCGTTTTTAATTATTCAGAAAAAAAGCACAGGAAGGACAAAAAAATGGTGTTTTAAAACTAAAATCCAAAAAGCTTAAAAGATGAAGTGCAGATGAATTGTAATGGATGAATGAGGAATAAAGCCAAAAACTTGGCAAAGTCTTCAACACTTCATCTTCAGACACACACATTCAGCTACACTCAATCCATATTTTCTAATACCTTTATTTTTGCAAAATAATGGCGTATACCGGACCATTGACTTAGATTAGTCTTAGATTAGTTGATCCAACATAATTCCAAGTTGAAATTATCAAAGGTCTACAATTTTGGGTTGCAAAGTTACAGGGATTTATAGGAAAATAAAATTCAAAGTTTGTGGCAATTTTCATCCATATTTGCATCCATATTTGCATCCATATTTGCATCCATATTTGCATCCATATTTTCATCCATATTTTCATCCATATTTTCATCCATATTTGCATCCATATTTTCATCCATATTTTCATCCATATTTGCATCCATATTTTCATCCATATTTGCATCCATATTTTCATCCATATTTGCATCCATATTTTCATCCATATTTGCATCCATATTTGCATCCATATTTGCAAAATACATTTAAGGTCGAACTTTCTATTGATTTATAGAGTTTTTAAACGTCACTAACGTCTTATCGTGTGTGGGTAGCCATTTTTTTTTACATATTTGTTAGTACAAGTACTTGTTTACTTTGCCATACAGAAGTAGAGATTCAGTCAAGTTTTAAAGTGGAGTTGAATTCTGAAATTGGCCTGCCATAACGCCAAAACATTTGATGTTTGACCCACTTTTGAAGTACAGAGTTTCTCTTATATTTTATTCTTATATTTTATTTAGCTGCAAGTATGTTGAGAAAAGGAAGAAGGAGTAGGGCAGGGTCTTTATCTTCCCCATCACATGAACTACCACCTAGATTAGGCATATCAGGTATCTTCCCAACACATGAACTACCACCTAGATTAGGCATATCAGGTATCTTCCCAACACNGTACGCCCTGGAGTGAACCCTGGGTTGTCTCTTGATTTAATTTATATCTGCACTTCAGGTTTGTACACAGATTATATGGATCGGCGGAACCACTCAAGCGGCGGAGGCAGTGTTTCTCCAACATCTCCCATCCCAACTCCGCCTCCGCCTGTTCATGTCTCCACCCTGGGCAGATGGGGATTCCCAACCAATGGAATCTCGAACGGGCATCCGCCCTTTTCCAACTCTCCGCCAATGCATATTGAAACATCTCGAGAGCTCACCAGGTAATAACATTTTTTAACAAATGAACCTTAGGATAAATTTTTGTAATTCAAAAAATAATCTGCGGCCGTGCGTTTATTAAAATCTCATGTATTTTCACAGTAAAAAAAATACGTTTGTCCTAATTCATACGACATAAAATGACCAAATAATCCATACTCTTTTAAAAGGGGTCATTTTAAGGGATTGAGTCTTTGCCACAAACTCTAATCCCTAAATATATTTATAACTAAATGGTGCAGACCTTAGATATTTCAAATTATAAATTCTGGGACAAAATTTAATGAATTTGAGCTGTTTTGCTGAACTTATTACTGTCGGTTCAAATTTTAACCACTGATTAAAGATTTAAGACTAGAGAAGGATTTAATTCGGTGATTTAAATTTGAAATTTAAATTCAAATTCCTTAAATTCGGTTCCTGTTAGATCAAATAAACTAAGTTTGAAATATAACAAGCTTACACCATCATGTTGCAAAGATAAAGGGATTATAAAATTCAGGGTTGTGACAAAGACTTATTTCCTTTTTAGAGAATTTCTTAAAAAGAGGTTTACAAATACGATTTTATTTTCAATTAATCAACGACTTTGTTTTTAAGCCTTGCATAAGAAATATTCAAAAAGTATGTTTTTTTTTGTGTGTGTGTGTCGTGATGTAAATTCAAGATGAGAATTTTAATGACATTTTGTAAAATTTCTACTGTTACTAAGTTTCCTTTAAATCTAACAATTCTAATTATTCTTTCTTGAATTAGATAAATGAAGGGAAACAGAAACATCTTGGATTGATTTTTCTTTCAGTTTTTTTCTTTCACATTAGTAATTTTTGTTTAAAGGCATGTTACAGTCTGATTCACAACGGTACCTCCTGATATCTAAATATCTGATCAAGAATGAATAAGATATTCATGAGTGTTAATTTGGCTTGGCCCTCTCTATACATCCATGACATCACAACTACAATTCTTTTTTAAGGAAATGTTAATTGCATAGAGAATAGAATATATAGAGAGGAATTTACTAGAAAAAAGTGTAAAACGGCCATTTTGTTGTACTGTTTCCATACTGCAGGTGTACTTCACATATTTATGCTATTTAACCTGTTGGGCCCTGGAATATCATTTTATAGAAAATCTAAAATTATTGTTAAAAGAAAACCAAATTATGGAATAGGCTGGTTTCATAATTGACCAATGATCATTTCACATAGACTCTATGCCTTTCACTTTACAAACGATGATTTTCCGTTATAACTATAAATCAAATGATGTTTTTATTCACCTAATTCATTATGAAGTTTATTAAACAGTTTAAAAGATTCAAAATTGAAATGGATAGTCTAGGGAACAAACTGTATTAATGTACTCTACTGCATATAATTAGAGAACATTTACATGATTTGTACACTTTGAACTCCCTTTCAGGCTGAAAGGGACTGAAAAAATTCATACCGAGAGATTCTTTTAATTCCTCTCTATATTCTATTCTCTATGGTTAATTGTTTACAACAAATTTTAAAAAACATTTTTTTTTGTATTTCATATGATCGTCAATAATAGTTAATAGTTAAAAAGATAGTTAAAGTAATGGCCAATTAAATTCCTTGTGTCTAGAATCTAAGAATAAATAGATAAACTGAAAGAAAAAAATTGTATTGAGAGCTAGTCCTATCCTCTCTTTTTACATCCATAAAAGCTGGACCAATAATTAGAATTTCAACTTCTGTTTTTTTTTAATATATATGATTCTTCTTTTCTTTTTTAAATGGATAAGGATCTTCTTTTCTTTTTAAATGGATATGGATATTTTTCTCATTTATAAATGGATATTGATCTTCTTTTTTTTAAATAGGTATGAATCTTCTTTTGTTTTCCTTATTCATTCCGTATCAATCACACACGATTGGTAAAACTGAAATTTTCTCTTGACTAATTCTGATGACATTTGATAAACTTAGAATTGAAAATCGTTTAGGCGGATTAATGAACTGGGTTCCAACCATGATCTTGATGTTCCTGATTCTATGGGTCATCTTCACCTGGATAATTTTAACCGTAGGCTTCCACAACCCTACACCCAGACCTACCATCACCCTGCTAGGTAATCTCACCCTACACCCAGACCTACCATCACCCTGCTAGGTAATCTCATCCTACACCCAGACCTACCATCACCCTGTTAGGTAATCTCACCCTACAGCCAGACCTACCATCACCCTGTTATATAATCTTGCATTACACCCTGTTATGTAATCGCAAAGGGCAAAACTTTTGTAGCGTTAACCGTTGACTTAACCGCTCAGACAGTGCCATCGACGGTGCAATCTTTCACATTGGACATCTCTTCATTTCGAAGGGGTATAGCTCTTTTTCGTGTGGAGAACTCGGATGGACAGTTTTTTCTCCATTGAAGGCACTAAATCACTAAATTCAAAAGTTAACCCTTTAATAAGTTAAATACCCGAAGATTAGTGTTTTACCACGCAAAAGTTGTGTCCTCCGATGCGCTTTTTTCGATTCGTTAGAGCATGGTTCGTTAACGATCCATTTCTTTTGTTCTTTTTTTCACTCATTCATTAAAAAAATAAAGTCCTATGTCTGCTGAATAATTGTTTTTTGTTCTTCTATTTCGGTCGTTTTTTAACTGAACGTTCGTTAAAGGAACTGTAAGCAGAATTTCCAGCGACTCTCAATGGAAAGATTGTATGCCTGATTTATAACGGTAACCTTGAAACCTTTAACTGCTCTAGGTTGTAGGAATTTATCTTGATAATCACAGAAGCGCTTTTAATTGTTGAACACTTTGTTTGGAAGCTGTTGGCATAAATAAAAGTTAATATTTTCTTCCGACTTATTGGAAGAAACCACTTTTAATTTAAAATATTAGGTAATGGTAAGGGTGACAAGTAACGCATTATCTGTGTTGTGTTCACAATTTACGAAGCGTAAACAAAGTGGTTTTGAAGAGGGCTCTTTTTTCTCGATAAACAGTCACAGGTTTAAATGGTACTGTTGTAAATCGGGCATTGCTCTCGTTGCATGGAGGGTCACTTGAAATTACGCCTACAAGTACAGTTCCTTGAAGAAAATTCGTTTCTTCATTAAACTCGTTCATTCAGCAAATCATTTGTTCAGTAAAAGGGAAGATCAGGTGAACGGCACATTTTTCTCTTTTTGATATATTTCGTTTCTTATCGAAAACGATCCCCATCTAAATCCTCAGATAACAAATATTGTCTAAACATCGATACCATTGTGTTATTTCTTTTTCTATTTTTAGGATGGGATCTGAGAGTATTGGAATTAGATCTGGAATTTCAAAGCCATACAAACACTAGAGACCCAGCTTTGTGTATAAACTGTAAACAAAAAGTCTATATTTTTCAGAAATTTCTTGAGGGGGGGGGCTTGGTGTGATAAAGAAAAATGACAAATGAAATTTCGACAAGAACGATTTTTCCAAGNGGGGGTATAAACTCTGAATCTATACTGGTATCTTTTTTTTCTTAGTTATAAATAACTCATATTTTAGGGATATCCAACAAATACTTAGTTATAAATAACTCATATGTTTAGAAATTTTTGAAGAGAAATATCTCAAAATTTGTTTTAAACATAATTCAATCCTTTCATCTTCCAATTCAATGAAGTAATATCTTCTTGGGAAATAATACAATATTTCTGAAAAATATATACGATTGAAGCTGAAAATGTTTCCAGTTTCTTAAATTTGCCAAAACTCCAAAAGAAAAACAACTTCCGTAAAAAAAGTATTTTGAATCACTGCTCAACTGTATATATTATAATACTAATCTTGGATAATATCAAATTTTCCATCGTATCTATTTTTGATTCTCTAAACTATTTCTTAATATCTCTGCTACCCTGACTCTTTTACAACGCATTAATACCAAAAAAATAACGTTTATTTTAAATGCGATCATATGTTTCTGTAATTCAGATGCATGTATAATTCTATACAACTTGATCTCAATAATTATCTAACTAAAACCGGCCTAAAAAATTACAAAAAAAAAACATTTTTTTTATCTTGTAAAAAATCCAACAATTTTTTCTCATCAGAAAAATTAAAACAAAACACTGCACATTGTATATTTGCATTAAGCAAGTTATATTTTACTTAAAGGGAGAGTTCCCGAAAAATTAAAGGGGGATTAGGTTAGGAGTATAAAAAAATCAATTTATTTTCAAGCAAATCATTTAGATATTAGTCATCGATTATTTTTCGATGCATTCGTATATAGTTGATATTTCATAATATTTGTTATTTGTTTCATATACAATGCACTTAAAACGACTTTTTTCCGCTAGAGTCTCTGCCACGTGGATTCATTCAAAGCATCGAGAGCAGAGACATCTGACGGCCAACTATGTCGGCGTTTTATTGCATACAAAACGAATAAAAAAATATTATGAAATATTAACTATATTAAAATGCGTCGAAAAATAATCAATGACTATAGGTTGTCATATTTGAATGATTGGTTTGAAATTAAATAAATTTTTTACGATACGAGTCGTATATTGTAACTTTCTGAATTTGTATGGACGCTACGGTCTTCAGTTTAAGTCGTTTTTTTTTTACAATTTTCCCCTTATTGACGCAATGAATAGAAGTAAGATTAGTAGCGATCAAAAGCGATTATGTTTCGCTGTAAGCCTATACCCCTTTCATTTTTCGCGAACACTCCCTTTAACATGCAGGGTTAGCCATTAAGAACCTGACTTTAAGAAACAAAATTTATTTAAGCTTTATTCCGCTTTATGGTTTCTTGGAAGTATAAACTAATTTCTTTCTTTCCCAAATAATTTGATAAAATATGATTTAACGGCAAAATTTTAGGCATTGCACCAATTATTCAATCATTCAAACTATATGTCGTCATTTAAGCCTCTTTGTTGGTAACCCTGTATGCATTCTTAAAATAATTTTGTATGTATAAATGTAAATGTGTATCTAAAGAAATAGTTGATAACCGCCAACAAAATTAATTCACCATGAATTCCAAAAAGTAGATGATGTGCAAAAAGTGTATTACAGGTTTTGAAATGAGCCAACTTTATTACATTAAAACATAAATCTGGCAAACTTGGTGTAAATATTTCTTGATTATGTACATCAAGCGTAAAAACAGTTTTTACCAAGAGACGATTCATTCTCACATTAGTTCTGTTTAGTTGGGTTTGTAACCAACTATACTTTTCAGTAATTCTATCCCCCAAGAAAGTCGAAAAGAACATTTTAAAAAATTCTATAAACAATTATTTACGAATTTCTTTCAAGTTTTCCAGTTTTGATTAAAGCCATATAAATATACCTGGTGCTTTTTGGCATATGTTTTTCAACCCAACATCATTTTACCGTTTATGATATTCAGAACTTTGCCAATTTGTTAACTCAATGATGAACTTGTTATTCAAACAAACTTTTGCTTACAGTCCCTTTAATTCAAATGTAAATTAAATATTGTTCTGTACAGTTCTCGTACATAAGTTACTGTACACATATGTATAATTGATGTGTTATTTCTCGTGCGATCATGAACATAAATATATCGTACATTTTGTGCATTCTTTGCTGTTATATATTATTATTCTAAAGACTTGAAATTGCTCATGTATACATTGAACATGTTTCAATATTTAGATAATATTTCGTACAAACAGTGAAGAATTGATATTGCAAGTGCCTTTTGTATTTTTACTAATAATAAATCTGTTTAATTTTTTCTAAGTTTTATTTAAGATATATAGAGATAAACTTTAAACTTTTTTTTATAAATGGCTTTAAATACTATTAACATTTTATAATTTTCTATTTCATCCTTCTCTTCCAATCATTCCCCAAGTGGGATTTCAATTTCCATAGTCAAACTAGATCCACCATGCACATTGCACAAATCAGATTGTAGGATATAAAAAATATCACAAGACTTGTATGAAATTTATCGATTTAATTTTAAAAGTGACTCTTCACTTAACCCTATAATGACTTGGGGGGTATAAACTCTGAATCTATACTGGTATCTTTTTTTTAATTCATCCGACTATATCAGAGTCAGACTATGGTTCGTTGGAATCTATGTAAGAAAGTCCCGGGAAAAAAGTTTCTGGAAAAAAATATGGAAATAAAAACTTCGGAAAAAAGTCCAATTTTTCTCAAGTCCTTCCAAAAAAATGTCACTGGAAATAAAGTCCTGTATTTTGGACTCCTGGGACTCCTTGGGAAAATAGTATTGGGGCTGTCAATGTCTCAGGAAATAAGATCACAGGAAATACAGTCCTGAGGAAAATATATCCGAAGAAAAAAAAACAAGAAAAAAGTCCTAAATCTTGTGAAAATGAGTTTAAGTATAAGACGTTCTCATAAGAAAGACTTTTTTTACGCATCTGTACTTTGAATAAAGTCATCCGGGTGTTATTTAATATCATTTGCTCCTTTTTGCATGGTTGTATACATCCTTTGTTCTTATGCGTTTTCTACTAGAATAGGACTTTTTTTCCGGGGACGTTTTTGTATAAAATCATATTGGAGGCAGAAAAAAAGTCCTAAAAAATAAAGTCTCGTATAATGATAGGACTTTATATCCGGAGACTTTTTATTAAAAGGACTTTTTTCACAGAACTTTTTCAGTGCGAAATATAAGGACTTTTTCCGGAAACACTTTTTCAAAAAACTTTTTTTGGCCGTTACCGGTTCGTTGTGAATGGCACATACCACTAGTTAAGGATCACAAAAAAATAAGTCTACAGTTCCTTTAAACTTGGTTTATAGTTCTATGTTACAAGTTCCACCCAGGACGGTTTTATAGTTTAGTAGAGTCCTTAAGATAAATTATTTGTTGTTGTGTTTGATTTATAATCCTAATCTGATTCATAGACCAGAAATAAATGACTGAAAGATATCTGGAATGGAAAATGGTTTCAAAGGAATTACTATTTTTAAATAAAAAAATTGAAGTGGTACGAAACATCGTGTAAAAAACGTTAATGAAACAAAACGTCGACTGATGTAGAAATTTATTTACAGAACGTCGGATATTTCAAAACGTTAAGTACTCCCAAACGTCAACTACTACAAAATGTCGATAGTTACAAAATGTCACGTTATGTTGGGTTAGGTTAGGACGACTTCTGGACCGAGTGCTGTGGTTAGGATGGGCTAGGGGCCGTGCGCTGCGGTCTCTTAAATGTTTAATGTTAATTTTAGCTGATTATTTTACGCTTTTTATTTTAAAATTTTCTTTAAACTTTGTAACTTTATTATCCTTTTCTGGCCTGGGCACTCGGCTTGAAAATAGTATAGAAATAATCAATAATAAAATAGTTATAACATGCGTCTTAAAGAGAGTGTTCGCGAAAATGAAAGGGGGTACAGGCTGATCCCTAATCTAATTTATGTTGTGTCAAAAAGGAGAAAATGGTTAAAAAATTTAAAACTTTTCAATTAGATATATCAAGTTATACATGTCAAATTTTAGAGGACATCTCTCAAATAAAATCTGAATTAACCATCCTCCAAACTACACTGAAAAATAGATAATAAGATTATAAAATTAAACTCCGTATACATAAATTCGGGTTCTCTAAGAGGAATTAATTCAATCCTTGGCCGACAAAAGATTCTTATATCTGCTTCCCTTAAAAGTGTTTATTCAACGTATAATCATTTTTTTCATCTGAATGCATCCATCAACAAAAAGTATAAAATAGATCAAACAAAAATTATATTTATTTGATCATATTGTGATTGAAATGTCATAAGGACCAAACTGTTATTTCAGTAAGTCAACCGTATCTAGATCTACGGATTAAGTTAATTCTCTTCGATTTTCCGTGGCGGTCATCATATTCATACCCTGTAGTAATTTAATATTTTCGTAATTTAAATTTTTTCTTAGTAAATAGTTTGACAGGTTCATAGACTAATCCTAATAGAATACAAGTACTTAAATAATAAAGAATTAATAAACAAAGAATGATTAATTAGTATAAAGATTAATTATGATTTAATCAGATAATAAAATAATGGTTTTATTCAGGAACACTTTTTTGCTAATTTATCTATCTATCTATCTATCTAATCTATCTATCTATCCATCCTATTTATCTATCTATCTATCTATCTAATCTATCTATCTACCCATCTAATCATCCTATAAGAATGGATGAATCCTGAAATCAGTGCCAAACATTAAACAAAAAAGTGTTGTCAACCATTAACTATAAGACCTCCCCGTCCATCCATGTAATGTCGTCTTTAACTTGAAATCCCCTCTCGGAGACACCAAATCAAATAATTTTAGCCCCATTTTCTTAGTTCTCCGTTCAATATATAAAAACGTCTTAGGACTCCCC